GAGCAGTTTGCAAAACGTCTGATTAGACAGTTGCAAACTCTATATCTGTTATTTTTTAATGTTTATCTGCTAACTACAACTCCGTGCAAAATACAAAAATTAGCACGGGACAAACCAACTCGCGCGCCTACGCGCGCCATAATTCTAGTGAACCCTACCGCTCCGCGTACGAGCGATACGCTTTCTCCCCACTTGTTCATGACAGTGGTAAGTAGTGAAAGCGGTTTTCGCTTTTGTGATTAATGGCGAAACGTCCATCGCGAAGCCACTTTCATCGTTAGGGCCTTGTCGAGACAACACGATAAGAATAATGCTATGGTCGTTCGTACGCAGAACGTTAGGGAGCACTAGAATCATCATGCGAATTGGTGCGCGACTAGGCTTGTCACGTGGTATTTATGCATCTCACAGGCTTTGCAGTAGGAAAACACTACAAAATTGACAGATATAAAGCTTGAAACTGTATAGTTGGACGCTTTACAAATCTAAGGACAAGATTCTTAGTGAAATGTCCAGCTCATTTTGATTGCTTAAAAACTAAGTTCATAAAGTGACCTAATTAGGCAATTATTTGACTACAAATATAAGTCCGACTCACTCCAGGCAAAAGTCAGCAACATGCATTTCACCACGTCGTCATTCCGTGTGTAGGCATAGTTTTAAACTCTTGCTAAACATAATGATTGATTTATATGTGGGTTGTAAAGTCCCAAAACCAGCATATGATTATGAGAAACGCCTAGTGAAGGGCTCAGAATTTTTCGACCTTCTGGGATTCTTTAAGCTGCAACCAAATCTATGCACACGTGCCTAAAGCATTCGTGCCTCCATCGAAAATGCAGCTGCCGCAGCCGGGATAAGATCCCACGACGTGAGGGCCAGTAGCCGAGTGCCTTAGACACTCTACTACAGTGATGGGTCACCTGGTAAACCAGAGTTGAGACTGATATAATTGTTATCCATAAGTTATTACCAGTATTCTGGTTTATCAGGAAATAATCAAGCGTATGTAGAACCATGGAGATCAGTGTTCTGGATATCAGAGCGCCGACAATAGGAGCGTATGCTTTCATCGCAGTTTTGATACTTCTTCACTCAGCGTAGTTAGCCAGTGGTCACTTATTATGTAGCACGGCCCAAAGCGCCACTCTCAAACCATACAACGTTGAGTGAGCAGCTAGACGGATCGTTGAATTCCGACTCGACGTCGTTTATTTTTTCATTGTAGGTCAGTAGCTCCAAAAAATGAATGTCTCGACTCGTTTTTGAACGCCTTCATATTCACTCTTGCACAGGTCCGCATACAAGGATAACTGCTGAGCGATTCATTAAACGCACTAAAACGAGCAATTACACGCGTTTGTAGGCTAAGATGCACGCGCTCGAAATGCACACGCTCTTGGCATCTCCAGTACAAAGTGACCACAGCGCCGCGATGATATCACCCGCCGGAAAATCAGCCGTGGTGAGGTGCGGTTGTCTTGTTCATCCCTACTGTCCCATCTAGTAGACTGTATTATAGAACTACGGGATACAGTTATAGATCGATGCTGCTTGACAACCAGCCAAGTCTTGCCATAAGAAGTTTCACCTCTAAAATGCGAACTGCGCGTCCCTGTGTCCAATAGTTGTCTTCAGTCTCTCATGGTACATTTGCAGCGATTAGAAGTTCATAGTAAAAAACATCATCTTTATCATAATCAGCCCGACTAAGGCTACTGCAGGGCAAAGGCTTCTCCCATGATTTCCCAATCCACTTAGTCTTGTGCTTTTTGTTGCCACATTATACCTGCAAACTTTTTATTCCCATCGGCCAACCTGACTTTCTGTCTCCCCCTCATGCGTTTGTCTTCTCTGGGAGTCCAGTCAGTTACCCTTAATGACCAGCGGTTATCCGGCCTTTGTGCTACGTGCCTAGCCAAAGTCCATTTCTTCTTCTTGGCTTCAAATATGACACTCTTAACCACGGTTTGTTCCCCAACCCACTCTGCTTTCTTGTGTTTTAAGGTTAGACATAACATTTTACTTTCTGTCACTCACTGCGTCGTCCTGAAATTAAGCTGACCTCTTTTTATATGCCTCCAAGTTTTTTCTTCGTAGGTAAGTTGGCAAGATGCACCTGTTACATACTTCCCTCTTGAAAGTTAGTGGCAGATTACTATTCATGGTTTCAGAATGCTGGCCGTATGTGATGCACCTTATCCTTACTCTCCTATCTATTTGATCCTCATGGTTCGTCTTCACGCTTACTACCTGTATTAACTAGACGGCATCATCATCATCAACAACCTCACTACGCTCACTGCAGGACAAAGGCCTCTCCCATGCTCTGCCAGTCGACTCGGTCTCGTGCTTAGTGCTGCCACTTTATACCCGCAAACTTCTTAATCTCATCAGCCCACCTAACTTTCTGTCTCCCCTGAACCCGCTAAATTTCTCTGAGAATCCTGTCAGTTAACCTTAATAACTAGCTGTTTTCTTGCCTACGCTGCTACATGCCCGGCCCATGTCCATTTTCCTTACATATTGCCTTACAACTTCCAGCATCTCTCAAGCTATTGTAAATTGCTCTTTTCTGCTGAGACTGTTGCACATTAGGTTTTGTGCATAATATTTTCATACCCACATGTCTGCTTTAGGTGTCTAGTTTAGTAATCATCAGCTGTAATTTGTCCCCTGAGTTAGTCAGGAAAAATGTTCCAGGGTGACTCGTAATTCGAATGTCCCTGAGTAACGGGAATCTCCAGTAGCACAGGTGTTTCTAGTAAAAAAAAATCCCTCGTATCGGAGTGTTAATCTACAAGTGTCGTCGAAAGACGACAGTATTGCGTCTGGAGAGAATAAACAAAAGTTCATTCGATGTTTAACCACTTTGACTCGATGTTTAGCCGTTTAACCTATCATTATATACAGAGGCCTACGTCGATTCATTGGCTTTCGCAATAATTGGGTAGGTGAGAGTAATAAATGATATAGCGAGAATTCTACTTTCGGGAGGCAAACATCCTGTGCGAATAGGAAGTCCATACCAAGCAGCTGTGGCAGGGCCTGGTTAGTATCTGGTATGTTGATATGGCTATTCAAACTTCTCTAACATGTACAACTGTTCACAATACAAAACAATATTTCTGTTTTGCAGACTACAGTACCACATTTGCGACATGATTGGCCTTTTTATGCTTCCGCTTGCGCAAAGGTATCTCGCTAAAGAATCAAACGAAAGTTGGAGCAATACAATAGAAATTTTTCCACGTCTATCTTCTGCGATTTGAAGCGCGATATGTTCACCAGGGCTGCCTATATTTTCAGAGATGTGCACTTCCTGTCTGCAATTTCAATCCGCACTTCTGGAGAGCGTACTTTTCCGAATGTTGTTGATCATTCAAAAACTTCTAAAAAAACAGCTAGCTGGTCTCACTGGCCTACTTTTTATTTCTTTTACAAAATTCAGACGAAGCAACGACGTGCGAAGTTCATGATTTTCGGAAAGAAAGTAAATTCATTATAAATATGGCCCCATACCTGCAGTTACACTGCGAATGTCGCCGAAAGACGATAATGTGGTGTCTGGAGAGAGTGAAAAAAAACGTTCATGCGGTGTTCTGCGCAACAAAATTGGTGAATGTTATTCTTGAGGCGCTGCGTTAGAGTGCTTCGAGCTTGCAGCAGGGCGAACGAGCGCATTAAGTCACGTCACACGTCAGACATGAGCGCTATCAGGCAGTTATCTTCAAAAACAAAGTGCGCGACGTGCGCTGTCGGAGGTGATAAGGTGTAGAATGCAAAGCGACGGGTAGGTGGACCACCGTGTCGTCTCAGCAAAGCATTTGAAACACTTGCCTTTTCGTGCAAGCGTTGCATGGTCAGCGCAGCGTGGTAAACGCTACGATACATAGAAAACTTATGTATGCCTTTTCTAGTAAACGACGCGAACACAGAATGTATACGTGTTGTTATGGTGCCTCAGATATGCGCAATAATTGCTTTTTATTGACGATTGCACAAATATAAACGCTGAATCCTAAGCAACATTGGTGGGCACTGCAGATGGGGTCGGCCGTTTGGGGTATCGGCTGGTGCCGCCTAATGTACCCGGTATGAACAGACAGACCAAAACTATTGTGTTTAAGGTCCCCAAGAAAGACTATTGTCTTTTAAATACCTGTCCATCACTGCGTGTTTGAGCCTCCCCACGTTGCTCTCCTGCGCAACACCACGATGAGCGCCAGTGTCAACGCCGCCGCCAGTGTAAGTGCCCGCTGCTCCGCATATACACATGGCTCCCTTTAGTGGAAGAAGGTGTAATTCTTTAACGATGATGAAGTTAGGTGGAGGGCACTGTAACTGTGAACATTCCGCTCTGGAAGGAGAGGAAGTGAAGTTTTTACCGCTGCTGAACTGTGACAGATGGCACTGAAACTGTGAAAGTCCCACTCTGGAGTGGGAAACGCCTAACTAAAACTAGAGTTTTTTGCCGCTTCACTACGGCTTAGCGGGCAAACTCAAAGAGGAGTGGACCGTAATGACGTCAAACTAAACTTCTCTATTGTTGATGTGCATTCATATAAGCTATAGAATTTTATATTTTGCATGAAGGTACGTATGGTATTATTTTTACTACGAAACACTTACCGTACATTGTCACGTATATCTATATATAAGTCTTCACCTGCGTCACATTCTTTAACACAGTGTTACATAAGAAAATGAATTAGTAAACATTCGTTTCGTCTGACACCTGTAGAAGCGAACGAAGCAGCTTTAATGACAATCCGCATGAAGGGTTTGGGGCAGGAAAATTAAGGGAGACACTGATGCGTGATCCCGCCTGACAGGATGCCTCAGTGCAAATGAACTATTCCTATAATGCTTCTTTTCATGACGAATTCCTTGTGGAATCCACATTTAATTCTTTTTATATGTGAACGATGTATTCTACTGCTTACAGGCGCAAAGACTTGTGTTTGACAAATATGAAAAAACAAGCATAACACCTTTCGTAGGATATAACGTACACTACCTAGTGCAATTCACTCAAGAACCCAAAATGTAAGTATTTTGAGGTTCTTTCACAGATATCGAATCATCATGTAATAGAGAAATTACTGCATAATCTTCCGATGCAACTTTTCTGGAATAGTTTAAAACAATGAGTAACATAGTTGGAGCAGGACCAAGATGTAATTGCTTGCTTTATACGAATTTAATATTTCGAAGTGGCACAGGCTTTCATAGGCGTCGCAGTGAAGAACTTCAGTTAATTTGCATAAATGGTGATTTTAAACCAAATCTGTCATTCTTTAGTACAATATTTATTTATTTGTTTGGAATTACCCTCAGGGCCAGAGGAAAACAGAGGGGAATGGCAAATTCAAAAAAACACATTACAAACATTGTTCTGAAAATAAAATGTTATGTAAAAAATAACAGTACAAGTTGTAACTATACAACTTGTACTGCTTGTACTGCAAAGCTAGTCGCAATTTTCATAAAGTGTCGCGCCGCCTAGCGGAATTCAGGAGCGTACACTCATAGATGATCAATAGGGATACGCTCCCAATGCTCCCTTGTTCGGCGGTGCTAGTCTTAGTGTTAACAAGTAAGCAAGAAACGAACACAAACCACTTTGTATGTTGCGTGCATCAGTGAATATACCGGACCGTCTATGACACAATAAATGTTATCCGCTCTGGTGAGAGGCGAAGTTAATGTGAAAATGCTTGGCAAGTAGTGCTTTTGATTATAGCCCACGTAGTGTGCTGATATTAGCTTCGCTAGATTTTAAATGCGAAGCATTTCTTAGCGAAGTTTGGCGACTTTAGGTGTATCTATCTATCTATCCATCTATCTATCCATCTATCCATCTATCCATCTATCTATCTATCTATCTATCTATCTATCTATCTATCTATCTATCTATCTATCTATCTATCTATCTATCTATCTATCTATCTATATATCTATCTATCTATCTATCTAGCCGCCTACGACTTTTAGCTCTCCTGGCCGTTTCGATAGTGGTATCGATACCAAACTTTGTATGGCATAACATTATTGTATGGGGAAAATGTTTCACTAGTCATTACATGAAAATCATGACTTGTGTGCCATCAATGTCATGATTTACATTTCATGGTTCTGCAGCTCTTTCGGTGGTTTTGTTCACATGGCATGCTGCAAGACTGGTATGATATGACATGATTGCATTGCGAGCACAAGCGAAAGACCCTCACATGAAAATAATGACATGCGTGTCATGTAACAGCATGACTACGTTCCACGCTCATGATGCGCTCGCACCCGTTTCGCTAGCCTCAAACCAAATTTGGTATTACGGGACGTGAATGGATGGATATCACCGATTTCCATTGTACGTGGGATCTGCACATTTTTTTTTTTGCAGCCACGTTGTATGACTTCATAATATTGTGAAACCTTTTTAGTTGAAACTCACCTTGTTTTACGGTTGCATATCATTCGTCATTGCTTTTGTAGTGCATGAATCTTATAACATTCATTGCAAGAGGAAAGTAGCGAAGGCTCATGATTTGAGCTTTCAAGCCTTGTCCTAGGCTGTGCCACTTGTTTTGTACATTTACTGATAGATGGGAGCACACCGCAAGCGATTCCTTTCTTGCATGGTATTGAAGTGAAATGTTCTTTACACCCCCAGATAAACGTGGTGAGTGACGCCTTGTTGGACCTGTGCAATGACGCGTTGTTGGTGCCATCAAAGACGTTCGGTGAAAAAAATTCCTGTGACTATTTTCAGCAGTGATGTTCAAAGCAACCGTATTGACGTCGAGAATTTTGCACTAGACGTAGATAGTTGTCAACGCGCCGAATTTGACCAAGGTGTGAGAGCAACGATGATAGATGAGCTGATAGCTTACGAGCAGCGAGTCGCACTTCTCGTCTTGTCGTGCGTTGATGTTTCTTTTTTTTTCACGCTTGTAAGTCACTTTGACTGTATATATATTATCATTCAGCAAAGTCAAAATAAAAAAAGCATACTTTATCTTGTGAATTGCATGTAGACCAATTACAGCGATTATTAAAATGCCGCATGCCGCGCTTGAGCTCGACCAACGAAGCGAATTGGATGAGCCCCGCCATGGTGGTGTCTATAAGGTACTAAGCTGCTGACCCGCTGGTCGCGGGATCTAATCTCGGCTGCGGCGGCTGCGTTTCTGATGGAGGTGGTAATGTTCAGGCCCATGTGCTCAGAGTTGAGAGCACGTTGAAAAGCCCCAGGTGATCGAAATTTTCTAAGCTCTCCACTATGGAATCTCTCATGGTCGTAAGGTGGTTTAGGGCCATTAAACCCCACATATCAATCAATCATTGGCAGAGCAATGAAATATGCAGTTACGACTACAAATCACCCCAACTTTTTCTGCAGTTCACCAGTGCCATCCGAACAACCTTGTTTTTCTACAAATTTTCACAATCTTGATGTTGCGAAAAGCGTACGTTTGAGTTCGTTTCAACATCCTTGTTTCGATGGCGCTGATGGAACTTGCAACATCCGAGTGCAGCAGGTTGCGTACTGCTAAGAGTCTGACAATGGCCGTGACACAAGCGCTACTTATTGGGAAGGTAAATGCTTGTGTTTCGTTGAAGAAGCCGCTGCATGATGCTTAGAGCGCAAGTAATGACGACGGCGTATTATGTTTGCAAACTATAGCTACGGAAAACATTCGGTCCTGTGCAGCCGTGGCGGCACGCTACTCGCAAGTAGCCTACTACTGCAGCCGATTTGCCAGGCAGGCTTGACACAACTTACCTTGGAGTGCCGTTCAGTTCACATGTGCATACTCGTTCGCGCAGTTTATTGTAGCATGCACAGTATTACGCAAAGCATCGTTGATACACGGACGATTAGCTGACACCACCACCCTACGTAATGCGGCACAAAATGAGGTAGAGAACATTCAGCACTTCCTATAGTTTGGCAAAGTACTTCGGTCTTATAGACTTTCATTTGACGATGAAGAGTTCATCCGCTGAAAGCGGCACGGGGATGACGTGCGTACATCCTATCGTTCCCTATGCGAGTTCACGGGTTGATCATCCTTCGTCAGCCATCTTGAATTGCACGGCGAGCCACCTATAGGCTGTGGGCATTGCGAATTTGCTGCTCACATGCTCATTAGCGTTCAGCAGAAAGACTAAGGCAAGATTATGAAGCACGCCCCAAACGAAGATTCCGTGTATTTGAGCCCCCTGGGATGACCATGCATTGAATCACACAGCACAGTGGCATGCATCATCTCGCTGGAATCAAAAGGCATTCCATGGGGTTGGGTATCAGCCTTCAGTAATTTTATTCTCTGTACTTCGGCGGCAGAAGTTTCCGTTTTCTTTTCATAGCACTATGTGTTTGCGCACACCATTCATGTCCCTCTGTGTTCACCAAAATTTTTTTTCCTCCAAACCTGAATGTATATAAATGCGAAAAATGTCCAGTTTTCTGTAGGCGCTCAGAGCGTTTCTATAGACGTATCTATCCAACCACCTACGTTAGGGCTGCCTACGTCCAGCCGCCTACGTCTGATTTTCATGATCGCCTCCTTTACCTTGCGCAGAGCAGCCTTAGAATTGTGAAGGGCAAATGGTCTAACGAATGAGTCTGGCAAAGCCCAACATAGATAACACTAAAATCCCGTTGCGTAGACCATCAAATATTTCTGCGAGACTCGTGTGGCAAATTACCAAAGGCCGTTGTTTGCAGTAAGCGCCACAAGATATTTATATTTTCTACCCAGAAACGGCATCAGGAGAAATCGATAACTTCAACGACAGAGTTTAAAATTGACTGTCTACCACTAGAAATGTTTCTATAATATTGGCAAAAATGAGACAACCGTTCATGACAACAGCGGCAATGAGCATGCTTTTGTGCCACGAAAAAAAATTGTATGTCAATTTGTTGTTGAACGTTGAGAAAGGAAGGCTGCTATCGTCACCTAACACCATTGTGGTTGAATCTACTGGCAGCACAAAAACTCCACGCAGGTAGAGTCATTTTGTACAAAAACAGCCATTTATAAATTGCAAACGTATTCGCAATGCCCATGCCCAATAGGTGGCACACCGTGCAATCCAAGCTGGCTGCGTAAGAATGGTCAATCCATGTACTCGCTTAAGAAAAGATAGGACGTGTGGACGTACTTCCCGTGCTAATTTAACCGAATGACTCTTCATTGTCAAAGAATGTATATCAAACGAAAGTACTTTCCCAACCAATAGGAACTGCTGAATGTTCGCTACCTGATTTCGTGCCGCAGTGCAAAAGGTGGTGGTGTAAGCTGATAGACCGTGTATCAAAGACGCTTTGCGTAATCCTATGCATACTGCAGAATACTGCGCGAACCAAAATTCAATGACGTCAACGGGCTCCTAGGTCATTTGTGCCGAGCCTGTCTGGCAAGTTCGCTGTAGTAGTAGGCCACTATCGAATAGCGCGCCGTCACGGCTGCACAGGAACGAATGTTTAACGTAGTGATGGTTTGCAACGCTGTCGTTACTTGCGCAGTAAGCATCATATAGCTGCTTCTTCAACGGAACACAAGCGTTTATCTTCCCATTAGGTAGCGCTTGTGTCAAAGCCATTGTCAGACTCCTAACATTGCGCAAATTAGCTGAACTCCAATGTTGCAGGTTCCATTAGCACGATCGAAACAGGGCTATTGAAACAAATATACGTGTACGCTTTTCACAACGTCAGAATTATGAAAATTTGTCGAACAACAACGTCGCTGGAACGGCACCAGTGAAGTGCTGGAAAAGTTAGCGTGGAGTGTATTCGTAACTGCCTATTTTATTGCTCTAACCAGTTCGCTTTACTGGTCGAGCTCGAGCGTATTGGCACAATGCAGCGCTTTGAAATATACACTGTAATTTGGATACAGTTAATATACAAGCAAAAGTATGCTTTGAATTTGAGCTCGCTGAAGGGTGTTATTCAATTAAAACAATCACAGTGACTTACGAGCGTGAAAAAACAACAACGCACGACGGGACGTGAAGTGTAACTTCCTGCTGGT